CCCCAAAACCCCAAAACCCCAAAACCCCTTAAGGATAGGGGAGATAGAGAAGTTGGTATTTATTAGCCAATCTTAGATTCTAAATCAAATACTTGTTTCTGGCTTTCAAGCACCCTCGCTTTGAGGGACTCACTCGTTACTTTGAGGTCATATAGTCTCTGCTCTTTATTGAAAATTATATCCTTTGCTTCTGAATAGTATTTGAGATTCTTTCTCCTCTCTTCCATTTCAAGAGAATTTATAGAGAGCAATAACTTTTCAAAGTAGAGGATAGACTTGTATTGAACATCTCTAATTTTGAACAAGTATTTCATGCGGTCGATTAGTAGGTTTATCTCCAAGCTAATTATCAAAATCAATCTATCTCTTGACTGCTTATAGACTATATCTTAGAAGAAAGGAGTACCTTCATCATTTTTAATCCACATTTTCTCCTTCTGAGTAAGCTCTTTTTGGATAGAGTCTCTATGGGCTTCTAAACAGTTTATTTCAAGTAGGAGTTCTTTGATGCTATCAATGGTGCACATGTTATTCCCATTTGCAAAAAGTTGCTCTTGTTCCTGAAGTTTGTTGTAAAGCTCATTAATTTCGCCATTCATCTCCTGGATTTTACTAAGATATCGCTCTCTTTTGCATCCATCTATTGAGACTTTTGCTTTAACATGGAGGCTTTCACAAAACTCTTGCTTAATCTTGAGAGTGGTTTTAAGGTACTCCAGACTTAAATTAGTCCGCTTTAATTGTCCATGCTTTTGAGTTAGGAATTTCAACAGCTTTCTATAGATAAAACCTTAAATTACTTTTTAAGTGCTCTCATACTTTGAGGAGGGCTCTTGCTGTGGTAATGATCAATGCATAGAAATTTTTGCTCGTATAACATCTTTAACTCTATGTCTTGTGAAGCATTTAGCTCCTCATCTTTCTCTTCAATGTCGTTAGGAGATCTATTAGAATATGTAGTGTGCTTATTTGAATCTAAAATTTTTAGATTGAGGGCTCGACGGATCGAGGTCCTCTATCTTTGAGAGAGGAGTCAAAGATTCCCTCTTTTTCGCAATTTCTTTAATCATATTGAGTCTATCGCCTCCTGGCTGAGACACAGAATTGAAATCTTCGTCCATTTTAGAATCAAGTGAGGAATCTAAGGGATCTTGATCATAGAATTCAAATGGGTCGAAGTCATCATACTTATCATCAGGTTTCAGCTTTATAATTCCGTCATTCTTGTTCAAAAGAAAGTAACCTCATGTATAGAGGTCTAGGATATTGTTGACTCTAAGAATGCTGAGATATTTTAAATCCTTTTCAGTTTTGTATTCCTTATTTATATTTGATCTCAATCAGAGCAGACATATTTTCAAGTGTCATAACTGAAGAGAGGCCTAAGATACACCCATCCTTATCTAAAAATTAGTTTTACTGGTTACCTTCTTCACTCAAGTTAATAGCTTCTTTGACAAGTTTGATTTTAAGGTGATCATCAGAGAAACAAGAAATATCTAGGAGACTTATTTCGTCAGTTAGTGTAATAAAGTCATTTAAAGATATTTTAGGTAGAACAAGATTTACTCTTGCGACTTTACAAATATTCTCTGTAAGAATAGGATCTATCTCTTGAGATTTAGATGCCCTATATTTCTCTTGAAGAAGGTCAACTATTTTAGCCAGATTTCAGCTGAATTTGTCTGAGAAAAGAATCCTCCAAGCAAACTTATCTTCTGTGTTGATGAAGAGGTCAGGTGTGAGCTGGACCATACTCTCGAGGAATAGAAGTAGATCGAATGTGCGGTCAACTTCTTCGTCATTTTCATTCTTATTTAGCACTAAATTAGTCATCTCTACGTCCCATTGAGATTTAGTTTTGATAGAGTAAAATTCTCTCACTTGGGATTGGTCTATCGAGCTCATGACAAGTTGAATGATATTGACTTTTTCAAAAACAGATGGGCGATTCTGAGTCACAACATAGGGATTTAACCTATACAGCACAAGAATGCAGATATCAATCCTTCTAGATAAAACAAGGGAACATTTTTCTGTATATGAAATTAAGATCTCATTAGGTGAAGCCTCCATTTTCAGGATAAGGTTTCATACACGTTTTAGTAGCATTAAAGTGTCATCAATATATTCAGCAAAGAAGTAGTCAAATTCCTTATTTTTCATGTTCATCGCTAAATCCAAGATCTTCAAGAGTAGCTGTATAATATGGTGCTAATTTGATTCTCTTTTCTTGAAGATACTTGATTTCCTCCTTAGGAGACATATTCTGGCCTGCGGAGGTATAAGACAGTAGAGACATATTACTTCTCTTCGGCTTAATGCTTGGAGAAGGTCCTCTAGAGGCTACATTAAGCATTTTGTTATGAGCCCCCTTTTTGTTCATCATTCTCGCACCTGTCTTTTCAGCCATGCGTATTTCTTCAAGTATTTTCTGAAACTCCTTAGCTTTATTGGTAACAAGTTTTGCCATCTCGACTTTACTCCCTATAATGCCGCCTATGGGTTATACAATTGAAGAAATACTGCTTAAGGCATCCTGAATTTGCTCTTCTTTCCTCATATTTTAAATTATTTGATTATATTGATTTCACTTGTAGCTTTAAATCTTGGGGTTTTGGGGTTTTGGGGTTTTGGGGG